AATGCCATGTAATGCTCCAGGGAAACCAAAATTTCAAATAGAATATCATTTTAAAGAAGGACTTCGACGGAAAGTGCATGAATTCTTCTTTAGACAAGAATTTCCAACATTGGATAAAGTTCTTGTCTCAGTTCGAGATGATAAGGATTACCCAGAAATGAGTCGAAGTACGTTATGGAAACTTTTAAAAGAAATAGGCTTCCGCTTGAAAAAGAATCCCAGAAAGTCTATTTTATTAGAAAGAAGCGATATTGTCATATGGAGAAGACATTTTCTAAGAACCATAAAGGAAATGAGAAACCAAAAAAGAAAAATATTTTATCTTGATGAAACATGGATCAACGAGGGTCATACACCAAATAAATTTTGGCAGGATGAAACTGTTACAAGTCAAAGGCACGCTTTTGTAAATAACTTATCTACTGGTTAAACCCACCATCAGGAAAGGGACGCAGGCTGATAACAGTACACATTGGCAGTTCAGACGGTTTTGTTGAAGGTGGTTTATTAACTTTTGAATCAACTCGTACCGGTGACTACCATGAAGACATGAGGAAAAAATGTGGAAGCTGGACAATATTACTGATAAAATGATCGAGCCAGTTATTATAAATCTTGGTTCTGAAAGTTCATCTTCTGAATCTGATTTCGATTTGTAACAAGTAGCTGTAAGTTTTATATTAATATTTTTATTCATCTATTTAACATACCTTAGACGGTTTTAAAAACTCTTTTTTTTTTGTAATTTTTAAAAATTAAAAAAAATGTGAATTTTTTAAAATCCTTTTTAATGTAGGCCAGTCAGTTCTAATATAGTGTGTGATAAAAGAGGTTACTTTTGTTTACATACACATAACACTTTATAACACTGAAATAATTCATTTATTTTTTAAAATTATTCAAAGTAATTTTTCAATCAATCTTGAGCACGCCCATGGAGTGGTCGGAGGTACCAGTTAAAATTATGCTAATTACTCTCTCGTTCATAAAAATAAACTATAAAAACATAAAAATATACAGGGTGTTTCATTAAAAATAAGGATTATGCACTATGCCAGTCTTGCGTGGATCACCCTGTACATTTAAACTTATGTTTAAAAAGCCCACATTTAAATTTAAAAGTTAACGTGTCCCAGAGTTTTTGATTATTTTTTATAATAAGGACAAAAACAATATTATTCCATGTGGTTTCCACACTGTATATGGCAAAACAACGTTTCCGGGTTAACTAGTTTTTTATATGCTCAGTACTAAATTGTAACAAAACCTTTATATTTTTATTTTATTCTGCTACAACTTTTTGTTACTAAAAAACTGTTTAAAACCATTTACATAACTTTTTTAAAAAGCCATTTTAATATAAATCTATTTCCCCACTCAAAACTAGATATAAATCGATAACATCAAAAACTGTCCAATCATAACTTGTTTCTTGAGACGACCTCAGTACATAATCGTCATTAGTCAAATAAATTTGAAACAGGTTTTTATTCATTCTGCTAATAGTAAAACTATTTTCAAGTTTTTACAATTTTATTGGTGAGCCGGTATAGGAAGGAGCGTCTTTTGTAACGATAACCAATAAAATTATTTCACTAATGAAGTTGTATTGAATATTCACATTGCTCGAAGGTGTGTGACTAATGCTTAGTGTATTATTGGATGCTCTTATAAACCAATAAAGAAAAGGAATGTGTATTTAACGCCTTCAATTCAGTTTCGTATATTTACTAATTAAAACAAAAAGCTCAGGTTCGTTCGGAACAATATTAAAAAATATTATATAAAAAATATTAAAATATTAAAAAAAGATTTTTTCTCTCATAATCATTTTCATAAGATACCGAAAAGTAAGGTTCGCTAGGTTGCTCAAATTGTTTAAATTTTTATTAAACAATTTTTTTTAAACAAATTTTTGCAATCAATTTTTTCGGCAGTGGCAGTAATTAAAATAAGTTAAAAAATAACACAGAGGGATCCAAAAGTGTCTTCTTCTTTAAAAGTGTCTGTATGTTAATATAGGTCTAATTGCTGCTTTATAGATTCTTGTTTTTGTATCTTGTCTTAGGTGTTTGTTCTTCCAGATTGTATCATTAAGAGATCCCATAGCTTTACTTAATTTTAAGCTTTGTTGTCGTACTTCTTCTTCAACATATCCGTAACTAGATATATCTATTCCCAAATATCTAAAACTTGATTTCTTCGATTGTATTTCTTGGCTGTTGTATTAAAGATATGTTAATCTTTGGAGCTCGTCTTTTGTCTCGACGGGTAATGCGGCTTCGTCTACATAACATAAAAGTTGGGTTTCTTTGTTTCTCATTCTGTAACCATGACGTTTACATACTGTTTGTATTATTTCGTGTACTGTTATTCTATTAAAGAGAATTGGGCTTAACGAGTCACCCTTTCTGACTGTTTATATAATATTAATTGGCATATTTCTTTTATACAGTAGGTGTAAAACATCTTCAACTTCGATCCAATTGTCCAATGTTCCAATCGAAAGTCTTTGTCAAGTAAACATAGATATGCTGGTTTATTGTACTCTATGGCCTTTTCTGTGATTTTTCTTAGTACCAATACGAGGCCTACGCAAGATCTGCCGGATCTTAATCCTTGTTGTTTGTCTGATAAAGTTATTAGTTTGTTGACTTTATTGCTTAGGACTTTTGTGGTAAACTTAAGTGCGGTGTTCAGTAGATTTATACCTTCATAATTGTTGGGATGAAAAATAAGCTCTGTTTCCCTTTACTATTCTTTACACTATTTTTCACTCGATCATGTGTTCCACTCCAAAAACACACACCGGAGATCGAAAATCAGGGTCTACAAAATTATTATCAGATTAATTATTCATGCGAGACATGGGTGATGACAGAAGGGACAAAAAGAAAACTGGAAGTTCGAAATAAAAGTCCTAAGAAAGATATTTTGACTTATTAACGAAAACAAAATAAGGAGATCCAGGTACAACCATGAACTCTACTCTACCGACTGTTTAAAGAGACACCGATCTCAGAATTCGTTAAGCTTCAGAGACTTCGTTGGGCTGGTCATGTAGTAAGAATGGAGACAGAAAGATTGCCGAAAAGTTCCCTAGATAGTAAAATGTTGGGCGTAAGACCGTTGTAAAAGGAAGGCCACGGAAAAGATGGGAGGATGAAGTGGCAGCGGAAGTGAGAACCTGGAGAAGATCGGCGCGGACCTACAAAGTTGAAGGCATAGTTTGGAGGAGGCCGAGGTCCGATTTGGGCTGTAGCGCCATTAGAGAGAGAGAATTGTTGGGGTTTTCTTGATCTTCTTTCATGGAAATTGGTATCATTATGGTCTTTCTCCATGCGTCTGGTATCTAGCAGTGCAATTATGTTTTTGTTTTAGGGTTGTTATCACTAAGGTTATACTTTCTCCTCCGTGTTTTAGAAGCTCGTTGGTTATTCCATTTGGTCCTGGTGACTTTCTGTTTTGAGTGAATTTATGACTATTTCTACTTCCTGAAAACCGATTTCTACTTCGTGTCTTAATTCAGGTACGTTATTGTGTTAATTATTATTTTCCTTTCCTTTTAAACATTTTCGTCAGGTATCCTTCCCATTCGTCTGCTAGTATGTTATTGTATTCCTTAAATTCTGCCATTTCTTCCCGTTGGTCTCTTAGGAATTTTTATTGTTGTTTTTGTGTACCGTAGAAGTCGCGCAGTTCGTACCGTGTTTCCAGTGTTCATTTTTTCTTCTTCTTACCAACTGCTTTGTTTCATTTCGTTTTCTTCTATAGGTATCTCGGGATTCTGTAATATTTGATGTTTTGTGTTTCGTGTAGGCCTCGCGTTTCACTTTACCATGGTCTTTTGTTCAGTATGACTTTGCTTTTCCCCAGAGCTTCCGTTGCTGCTTCTTTATCTTTGATGTTGCCTATTTGTTTCAGCTGTATCTTCTGTGCTAAACTCCTTTGATATGATTTTACATTGAATTTGTCCTCGCTGATTTCATGTAAAAAATGTTTTGCTGTTATTTTCATACTTATCTTTTCTAGTACTAGTTTTTGTTCACTCTCTGGGTCTGCTGATTTTAAAGTTGGGATATCTAAAATTTGCTTTGGGTGGATTTTTCTGTTACCTATTGACAATAAAATCGATCATATATTTCTCTTCCCTCGAGTTTTCAAATGCGTATGTATACTGGAGCTTATGGTCGAAAAATGTATTATGGAATCTCAGTTTATTAAAATCACAGAGATTAGCCATAAGTTCTCCATTTGCATTGACATGGTTTTCATAAAATCTTTGTTTTACTCCTGGACCTATTTGATTTCCGATTCATGCATTAAGGTCATTCATAAGAATTAGGGTTTCTTCAGGAGGATTTCATCCAGGATGGTTTGAAATTGTTCGTAAAATCGTTCCTCCTTAGGTTTACAGTCCTCGGGGCTATAGATAGATATAGAGGTTGCCCAAGCATTTTAAATTTTTTTTAAACAATTTTTGTAGCAATTAATTATTTTGGCAACGGGAGTGATAAAAATAGGCTAAAAATAATACGGGGATATCCAAAAGTGTGAAGAATTAAAGTAGAACAACACCTGTAAGGAGATTGAATTATATGCAATTGAACAACCGAAGACAAGTAGTTATGAAAAAAATGTTGATGTTTCGTAATTTTTTCTTCATATTCTTGTTATATCTTTTTGTCCTCTTAGGCATTGGATCGGTATTCCGGTTCATCCTTTATTCGTTTCTTCCTTACATTTCTATTTTTGGCCATCATCTTTATTTCTTCAATAGTTTCCCTATATTTCTTCCTATTTCTTTGGTTTTTTATTGATTTTCTTCTTTGTCTTCTCCTTCTCCTTTTCCTTTAACTTTCTAAGCTTTCCTTTAGCTTTCTAACTATACAATTCTTGCTTGCGTATGTTCTTACTGGCACTGGTAGCGAATTGCAATGACTTCCATGTTCACAGCTTTGCTTTTGCAATTTAAAATACTAAAATTATTGTTTTCACAGTCCGTAAGTGACAGCCTCTTCACGACATCAACCTGTAAACAAGTCGAGCTTGCTTCTGAGGAACTTCCATACTTTTTCTATCAATTTTCTTACAAGGGAGAATTGGGACAAGAGACACGATTACTGCCAGTCACACCACCAGGTAATTATTTTAGTATTTAAACTCTTTATTATCTGTATCTAACTTTAATCAACTATTAGTACAATTCATTTAGTACCAATATTAATTTTACAGGAGTTGGTGGTACTGTAGCCCATGCCGAAGACCTTCATTATATGTGGGAAGAACTGGGTACGAATAGTGACTTAAGTAAATATTCATCTGAAGATCAGTTGATGTTACATCGTTATGTTAAACTATGGACCAACTTTGTAAAGTATTTGTAAGTATTTTATTTCATTTATCCAACTGGTACATTTCTTATTTTTTTTTAATGAATAAATTAGGAAAACATTTATATTCCTGCACTCTAGTTTTTTATTTAAAAATGTATTTTGTTACGTGCTGTTTGTACTTTTTTATTGCTGCTTCACTGGACACTGCTTCTACTAAAATGAACATATAAAAAACTAGATCAAACTATTGGCTTTGTGAAACCTTTATAGATCACAATTTTTACTTTTCTTTTTAGCAATCCAACACCAAAACCAGATCCACTACTGAATAATTTCACCTGGATCCCTTCCAATAAGGAAACCCTAGCGTATATGAACTTTGAATTGGACTTAGAAATGAAGGAACATCCGAGACAATACTCGCAAGTTAAAGCAATAATAGAAAAGTACATGGAACCTCCATATCTTGTATTTACATAAATTGTATTCAAAATGAAATTGATTTATTAAAGAAATTAAAATTTAAGTTATTTATATAGGTTACGCTCCCACTGGAGTATTAATTATGATATTATTATGATTATGATATTATTTTGTATTCAATCTTCATATTTGTCAACTTTTATCTATCATTTGTCATTTGTTTATTTTATTGCAAAGTTCGTTTAAATGTAGTTTTTGACATGACGGAAAACAGTTGTTAGAGGTGTGACACTTTTATAGTTTATTTTTATGAACGAGAGAGTAATTAGCATAATTTTAACTGGTACCTTTGACCACTCCATGGGCGTGCTCAAGATTAATTGAAAAATTACTTTGAATAATTGTAAAAAATAAATGAATTATTTCAGTGTTATAAAGTGTTATGTGTATGTAAACAAAAGTGACCTCTTTTATCACACACTGTATTAGAACTGACTGGCCTTCATTAAAAAGGGTTTTAAAAAATTCACATTTTTTTTAATTTTTAAAAATTACAAAAGAGAAAAAGAGTTTTTAAAACCGTCTAAGGTATGTTAAATAGATGAATAAAAATATTAATATAAAACTTATAGCTACTTGTTAAAAATCCAAATCAGATTCAGAAGATGAACTTTCAGAACCAAGATTTATAATAACTGGCTCGATCATTTTATCAGTAATATTGTCCAGCTTCCACATTTTTTCCTCTTCTTTAATAGTGTTTTACTGCCTTTTCCCAGTTTTCAGGTTTTACATTATTTACGGCCTCCAAAAACAACTGTTTAACATGATGAATTTTAAAAGTGGTATTTTTTATTGAAACTTCACTCTTTATCTGTGCCCATACCAGTTCAATCGGGTTTAATTCCCAATGATATGGTGGGGATCTAAGTACTGTCATTCCACGATTTTTGGCAATTTCATCAATTTCGTATTTTTTAAATTTTTCTTTATGAAGGGCACACAACGAATAAAGTTCCTTTCTTATAGATCCGGGATGGTACGTAATATTTTTTGAACTCAGCCAATTCTGCAAGTCTTTTTTTAACCACTTGGTTGTGATCAGTCCTTCTATAAGTCTGGAGTGATAACTTGCATTATCCATTACTATTACACAGTTCTTAGGAAGAAGATCTATTATTTGTTCGAACCATTCTTGAAAGACATCAGCGTTCATGTCTTCATGGTAGTTACCGGTACGAGTTGATTCAAAAGTTAATAAACCACCTTCAACAAAACCGTCTGAACTGCCAATGTGTACTATTATCAGCCTGCGTCCCTTTCCTGATGGTGGGTTTAAACCAGTAGATAAGTTATTTACAAAAGCGTGCCTTTCACTTGTAACAGTTTCATCCTGCCAAAATTTATTTGGTGTATGACCCTCGTTGATCCATGTTTCATCAAGATAAAATATTTTTCATTTTTGGTTTCTCATTTCCTTTATGGTTCTTAGAAAATGTCTTCTTCATATGACAATATCGCTTCTTTCTAATAAAATAGACTTTCTGGGATTCTTTTTCCAGCGGAAGCCTATTTATTTTAAAAGTTTCCATAATGTACTACGACTCATTTCTGGGTAATCCTTATCATCTCGAACTGAGACAAGAACTTTATCCAATGTTGGAAATTCTTGTCTAAAGAAGAATTCATGCACTTTCCGTCGAAGTCCTTCTTTAAAATGATATTCTATTTGAAATTTTGGTTTCCCTGGAGCATTACGTGGCATTTGAAAACTACCACATTTCTCTTCTTAATAACTCTGTAAATCGTAGATTTCCCAACACCAAGTGTACTGCTAACTAACTCAACGGTCTCATCAACACTTTCACATAAACGTTTGTCTGTAAATGATTTAAAACAATTAAATATTAATGTTTTTTCATTAACTGTTAAAGGACCAATTTTTCGGCGTTACACGGCACTTCCAAATTTTCCATAACACTAGTATACACAATAAACTGCACCTTGCAACTGAAGTACCTACTTTTAGTGAACTGTTAAGAATTTTGAATACGCCACTTGGACCTTCCTACAAAATGGAAAAACCCACTATCACATTTTTTGTGGAATAAGTTTAGAAGGTAATTATCTAGTCAATTACTGTCGTAGATTCCTGGAATTAAAGAATTAAATGTTTGATTGTTGAAACCCTTACTTCGTGGAATGCACTCATTTCAGATAAAATAAAACGTTTTATTTTATCTAAAGAATTAAACTTTATTTTGCAAATAGGTAGGTACTTATTAAACTTTTATTGGTTATATATAACCAATAAAATAAACATCTTACATTTCTTGCAAATTCATTAGTACCTACCTGTTAACCTCCATCACTCCGACACTGGCAACCTTATTTAGAGATTAGTAACCCTCACAACTATTGTATTCTATTCTGCTCCAACCTTTATACCTGGTGGTCATACTCAATTTAAAATTGTTTTCCTATATACTTCTGTAAACTTGTTGACAAATATCTGTTTTTTATTGAGTCACCCGTATCAACAGTTTAGGGATTTGCACACATAATTTATTGTTTTATTACTCTCTCATACATAAAAATACACTATAATAAATTCATACTTTTTCACAAAGTTATGTTTTATGTTAACAGAGTTAACATAAAAATAATTATGTTATTTTATGAGAAATATCTATCTAATGACGTACCACATATGATTTATTCCCTATTTAGAATTAAATGTTTGTGGTACTGGAAAAGAGGGTTTTACAAATGACAGATGTCTACATCATTTAAAAATGACCCCTTTCAAATAAAAAAATTTCTTAATTTTTCGGAAATTTAATGAATATTGCTATAGAATTTTTTTAGTACTCAACTCTGTATTCAGACTGTTTCAGGGCGAGCTTACATTTTATATGAGAAACTCTTCTAATTGATGTATCTAACCGTTACGAATGTTGGCGATCATCATGCCAATCAGTGGCGGCTCGTGACATCTGCTATAGGGTGTGCTGCATGAACCACGGTCAATATAAAATAATAGAAATAGAATAACATACGAAAACAAAAACAATAAAATTAGCTTTAATACTAATTAATAGTAACTAATAACGACATGCTATAAAAATCTGATTAACTTACATTTATTGCATTTTTCTAAATTGGAAATTAATACGCCGGTCCTTTTTTGTCGCAAACTTTTCGATTACTTTATCGTTAAAGTTCGGTATTGAAGCGATGAACTTTTTTTCTATCGAGAGTGTGGAAAGGGCTGTTAATCTGTCTTCGCACATTGAATTTCTTAAAAATGTTTTGATCCGTTTTAAAGTTGAAAAACTACGTTCAGCTTCTGCTGTGGTCATTGGCGTAGTCACCAGAATTTGTATCAACTTTTTGGTTTCTGTTAATGTGTCCTCTAAATTATTAGAAATTATAATTTTTAGTAAAGGCACTGCACCTTTTAATGTTCTACACTCGATATTGGAATACAAAACTGACAGTTCTGTTCGCAAACGGTTTTTATCAAAGAAGTTATAAGCTGTACAAGTTAAATCCAATTCATTTTCAGGAAACTTATTATTATATTTTTCGAAATGTTCTGAAGATAAAAGTGTTGCGGCAACTAGATGATTTGTATATGCAAACCGTTCTTTTGCATTGTTTATAATAACATCACAAACTTCTAGACAGGCAATACGGTGATCCTGTTGGCTGTTATTTGGGCGTTTCCTTTTTTGGACACTAGGCGCCGCATTTAAATTTGAAGCTTGATGTATGATAGGGTCTATTTTATTTCGGACATTGTTAATACTTTGCTCAAAAACATGTATAGCTTTCTGTGCTTCGGTTGGGTCCATGTTCTTTTTTTGAAGATTATTGTACAAAACGTCAACATGTGGCATAATATAATGAAAAACAGTCAGCCAGAAAGTAAAATTTTGATCTTCCAGAATACGTCTAAGTCCTCTTGCTTCCTTGGAAGTAATAGCATTTGACTCTTCTTCTAGTTGCTCCATACACTCAATAATAAAGTCTCTATATTCGTAAACGACATTTACTGTACGAATATTGAAATTCCAGCGTGTAGGGATTGAACGAGGAATATTTTTTCCAACTATTTGATTTAAGACAGCTATTCTTTGAGGTGAATGACTAAAAAATCCAGGTATATCATGTAAATCTCCAAAAAATACGCGTACTTGGGAATTAATAGAACATGCTCTTGACATTATTAGATTCAATTGATGGGCGTAACAGTGCACAAAATGAGCAGTTTCATATTTTCTCTTAATTATTGTTTGCACTCCGCCATGTATCCCACTCATAACAGCTGCTCCGTCATAACTTTGTGCAATGAGCTTATTTTTGTTATTCTTTAATATTGGGTCTAAAACATTCAAAATTGTGTTAGCTAAGGTTTCAGCATCATGTTTTTCTGGAAGCAAAAAAGTCCAAAACCTTTCAACTGGAGCACCGTTTTTTACATAACGAAAAACAATGACCATTTGAAATTTCATAGAAACATCCGTTGTCTCATCAGCTATCACTGCTAAAAATGGGGCTTCATTGATTTCGTTTAAAATCTCCTCAGCGTATACTTCTAGCATGCAATCCAAAATATCATTTTGTATTGTTTTTGAGGTACCTTTGAAAATTGTCGCATTTGTAAGGTGTTCACTAAGTGTTTTATCAAGTTCAGCAGAAAAATTCACTAAACCACGAAAAATTCCAGGGTTATCTGATGTTTCAGATTCATCGTGTCCTCGTAAGGCGAGCTCAAAAGCCCCACAGAATTTTATACAGTCAATTATTTTTGACAAAACATACCTGTTTTTCGTCACCTCTTCATTGTGTTTTTGTATATTTATCCAATAAGCAGAGTCAAGTTGGGCCTGTATATTAAGTTTCCCAAATAATGCAAATCGCATTTCATTGTTCATATGAGTTTGCGTGTTTTCATGCTTCTTTATTTTTTCACTTAAATGCACTAGATCCCGCACTCCTGTCTCGCGCCACAATTTTTCCTCTTTATCTGCGCCGAATAATGCACACGGAAAACAGAAAAAAGCATTTTTTTCGGAACATCCACAAATCCACTGAT